ACACACACACACACACACACACACACACACACACACACACATTCTTTCTAAGTCCTCATAAGCTGTATCGCCCTCACATGTATGCACCGACACGTCCCCACTTTGCAGAGGAGAAATGAGATAAAGAAGCTAAATGACTTCTCTGAGTTTCCTTGGGATGTTAATGGTAGGTCTACTGATTTTTGGCTAGGGCAGGAAGGATTCTTGGCCTTTGGGGAGTCATAACACAACCATTTTGTCACATTCTTCACACCTTCACTCCCTGCCTCTTCCACTCCTCTCTTGCTTTCCCCCCTGAAGACTGCATGGAATTTTAGAAGGTTAATCAAATTTTCATTTTCCATAATTTTTACCGGACACTTTGAAGTTACTAGATTCATCCTGGGGAGAAGTAAAAATTGGCCGACCATTATTTTGCTATTAGGACAAGTTATGTTTTGCTAATAGGTCTTCTGTGACTGGATATCAAACTGATGTGGAGGGAGGGTAATAAAAACAGAAAGCAGACACATGGGGAAAGAGGAAAAAAACCCAACAACAACAGGGAGAGAAAAGAAAATCAAGGAAACAGATGGCTTTCTTCTTCCTGCCATCTGCTTTTGGGGCGGGTGTTCCTGTGGGCACTCAGCCTGGAGTCTCTCCTGATGCTATAGGAGGGGGACCCAGAGCAGCCAAAACCTCATGTTAAATTAAGCACTTGAAATTTAAGTGATTCCCTTTCAAGCAACACTCCAGTGAGGTAGTTCATGAAAGTGTTAGCTCCATTTTCCAGATGAGGAAACAGAGCTTCAGTGACTTGTCCATGGTGATGCAGCATTTCCCAGTCCTATTACGTTAACTCAGTTCTCCTGACTTGAAGCCTAGTACTCTTCTCACTCCCAGTGCTTTTCTCACATCAATAGTCAGTGCAAGAACCATGGCTAACCAAAATCGAAAAGCTTGGTGGTATAAAAAGCTGGGGATGGGTGGTCATTAGAGTTGGGATGGAACAAAAGTATAGTGAACAGAGTGCCAATTAGGAGGCACTATGTGAGATGCTGGACCTGGAATCAGGAAGTTTTGTGTTCAAATCCCACCCCCCCAAACTAGCTGAGTGACGCTGGGTAAGTCATTTAACCTCTGTTTGCCTCAGTTTCCTCATCTAGAGGTTGTAAATCCCTCATGTACATGTTATACATCTTTCATGTAAAATGAGGGTAATCATGGCACCTTCTTGATATGTAGCAATAATGTTTATTAGTATATGTTAGTATATATAGTAACTACCTCACAAGGTTGTTATAAGAAAGGAATTAAAGAATTTATAAAGTTTCAGCTATTATGATTCATCAACAATTAACCAATGAGTATTATAATTATTTATTAACATAATAATAATAGCTAACATTTATTTAGTGCTTACTATGTGTCAGACACTATGCTAAGAGCTTTATATCTATTATTTCATTTGCTCCTCACAACCCTGGGAAGTAGGTGTTATTATTATCATCCCTATTTTACAGTTGAGGAAATTGAGGCAAACAGAGTTAAGGGACTTTTCTAGGGCCACACAGCTATTAAGTGTCTGAGACCAGATTTGAACTCAGGTCTTCCTGACTCGAGGTCTAGTGCTTGATCCACTATGCCACCTAGCAGCTATCATTATTATTCTAGGTCTGGACTTTAGGGTCACTTTGGCACTTGGAAGAATGGCATGAAAGATGTTGACAATGAAAGCCCTGCTGAAGCCTTTAGCAAAAAGGTCTGACCGAGCACCAAGTGGCTCACACCTTGACCACCTTCAACTCAGAGAGGGTAACTCTCACCCCAGATTAACTGAGACCAAAAGAGGTCCCAGCATCACCTAGTCATTGCATCAGTCAGGAAGCAACATTAATGTACCCACTGTGTGCAAAACATTGTACCAAGTCTTATGGAAAGGATACCCCCCCAAAAAAACTTAGAAAAAACACACAAAGCCATTTCGAAAAAACAAATTAATCTATCAACAAGTAGACTTGTTCAGCAGGCCAATCAAGGATGGCTGCCTAGAGGAAGTATATTTTAAGCCAGGTTTTGAGAGATTTTAGAGAAATGGATGGGCTCATCACAGAATCCCCATCCTTGGAACTTTGCTATAAAAGCCTTTGGAATTATACTGAAAGGCACCATTTCCCAGAATGGATTCACTTTCCTGTAGGTAAGTAATCCACCTATTCAAGGCTATTTAATTCCAAGAGGTCTGTGACCTAATGGGATCTGAAAATGCCTTCAGTCCTCCACTGTCACCATATCTACTTCAATTAAGAGTCAATGGTAAGCCCAGGGTTGGGGGTGGGGAGTGAGGGTGAAGGGAGGATGGCAGTCTCTAGAACAATAAAGAAAGGAGAATCATTTCTGAGAAGTCTCTCAAATCTGGGGTAGCTCATTCTGGGAAAGATCCCTGTGTCTCAGAGAAAGGGCTTTCAGGCTACAGAAGCCAGAGATGTACAACCAGTATGTAAATTCAGGACGCATAGACTGGTTTTAAAATCTGAGCTTTATCAATGATAATAATAATAATAATACTTCTATGTGGTACATGCCCCGACCTAGGGTTTCCTTTGAAAACTTCTAAATTTAGTTTCCAGGCAACTTACCTGAGAGAAACCGAGGTAACC